GCTGAGCTAGCCCGATAACTAGTCAATGATTTCCTGTTCTTGAATTACAGGGAATGCTTTCAATTTTTCGCCATTAATATAGTATTTGTGATGTTTTCTGTATATAGTTTTTACTTTTAAATTTTTTATTATTTTCCATTTCCGTGTGTGATATGCAAGTGTGTGTACACAAGTTTGCACATGTAGGCACACATTTGAGTGGATGCAAGAACACATGGGTGCACATGCATGTAGAGATCCAAAGTTGATGTAAGGAATCATCTTCCATCACTCTTCTACCTTATTCATTGAGGCAGGACCTCTCAATCAAACTGAGTTCACTTATAATGCTAGTCTTACTAACTAGTAAGGAATCCCATCTTTACTTTCTGAGGCTAGAATTTTAAGTGGACCCAGATGTGCATGTGCACACACATCATTCCAAGGAATTTACATGAATTCCAGGGATCTGAACTCTAGTCCTCACACGTGTATGGTAAGTACTTTAACCATGGACCCATCTTCCTAACCCTTAGTTTTAAATTACATTTATTCTTTTTTGTGTGCATGTGTAGTCAGGAGACAACTTTCATGAGTTCTCTCTGTTGACTGGGTATATCCTGGGGGCTGAACTTATGTGGTCAAACTTGGAGGGAAATGCTGTTACCCGATGCTCTCTCTCTTACTATGGTAAGGTATGGTCTTTCTAGACATAGTCACTTCAGGACACTTGCCATGAAAGGGTTGAACTTTGTCAAATATATGTATCTGTTGAGGTGATCATGTGATTTCTGTCCCTGATTCTATTTATGTACTAAGCTAATTTGCTGATTTGCTTATTTTGAATAATGCTTACATCTTTGGAATAAAACTAATTTGAGTGCCAGCAATAGTGGTTCACACCTTTAATCCTAACACTTAGGAAGAAAGGCAGACGGATCTCTGAGTTCGAAGCCAGCCTGGTCTACAGCGTGAGTTCCAGGACAGTCAGAGCTACACAAAGAAATGGAACCCTGTCCTAAAAAAACATAAACAAAACCAAACAAACAACTAGCTAACTTGATCATGTTGTAAGATGTTTTTAAGGTGGTACTAAACTCAGTTTTCAAATACTTTATTGGGAGAATTTGCATCTATGTCCATACAGGAAACAGGCACTAACACACTAACAGCTGTGAAGAAAGGTCAACAGGGAATGGATGAGAAAAGTGTCACATTGTCAGGAGTCATACTTAAATCTGACTGGGACAACAAAGTGTTGGAAAATAGTGAGTAGTAGAATATAATATAAAGGGCAGACGGGAGGTAGATATTACATAGGATTACATGAAAATATCCTAGGGACAAACTTTCCAGAGAGCAAGGACAAAGAATAACCTGAAGCCATGACACAAACAACCAAAGTGGCAATAAACTGAAAATAAAAAGCAATTGGAGCCAGGCAGTGGTGGCACAGGCCTTTAATCCCAGTACTTGAGAGGCAGAGGCAGGCAGATCTCTGTGAGTTGGAGGCCAGCCAAGAGCTAGTTCCAGGACAGACCCCAAAGTCTGTCTTGAAAAAAATTAGAGGCTACCTCAAAAATATCCATGAGGCAGAGGGCAGTGGCCTTGGGAACTAAAATCTAAGACCTTGCAAGGCTGTGTAAATGATTTGAAGTAATAAGGATTTTTATGTTTATTTGGTACACACAAAAATGTTTACTCATTTACTCCTAATTAGAAGAAATATAATCATAGATCTATTCTGCCTTTTAGTTTTTCATTCTGTTACTGAAATTGCTAAATATTTCTACTAGATAGTGGGAATAAAGATAAGCTTCATACTAAATGTGAATGTATTCCCCAAATACCTTTAGAGAATCAAGCTTTTATAAATTCATTTTTATAAAAATATTTTAAATACAAAATACATCTCTAAACTCCAGCTTAAAAGTTCTAATAAATGTGTGGAATGTTTTTCTATGAAAATAAAGATAAAATAAACATATACTGATTAAAACATGCTTAATCTCAAGATGGCATAGCATCTAATCAGCTAAAAATCTTAAAAACTCCTTTGACCCCAGTAATTGCCAAACACTTTTAACAATATTACTGAACAATATAAGGCAAAACATTTATAGATGAACTCAATTCTGAATATAAAGGTAAGTTAAGGTAAAAAAAAAAAAAACCACAAAACTCTAAGCTAAAGGCACAAGAGTTAATACAATGGCTTAATGGACAAAGTGTAAGCTTAGTTCTTTCCTGTTCTGAGATAAAGGTCTCAGTGAGAGAGCTGTTGTTTCATTAAGCACTTACATGCCCAAGGTCCTTCTGACATATTATTTCATCCCCACCCCATAATACTGTTATTTAGTCTAGAACTGAAGAGAAATGATCTTGAGTTCCAAATGGGAAGCAAGTTGGCCATCTTCAAGTATGCCTTAGAAGGGGTACTCACTATCTGATAGGACCTGATGCAATGAACCTGAGCCATGCACACACCTCTGTAACTCAGAAAGGAAGTCTGGATTCCTATGGGATAGATAAGTAATCCCTGACAAAAAGGTCCTTGAAGCAATATAAAACGCTTTCATTAGGAAGCAGTTGTGATAAAAGTCAGGATAGTGGTGTGACCTTCGAGCAAGGAGAAGATTTTGAAAAAGACAAGATTATAGCAATTTAAATACTAATGTTCATCTAGGCTGGGTGCAGTGAATTCCCAAGATCTACCTGCTTCTTCTACCTCCAATGTTGTTATTAGACACAAATAGCCTTACCTCTGACTTCTTTACCTAAATACAACAGACTCAAACTCAGCTGCTCAAGCCTGTTTTTTCCCACTGAGCCATCTCTCAAGCCCCAAGTGCTACTATCTTGTAACTAAGAAATTGTGTTTATAGACAGCATTTCTGTTAATACTTGGAAATACTCTCAATGATTTTATCTCAATATCCTAATTTAATATGACTTACAACTTAGTTTTTAGAAAAAAAGAAATAAAACAAATTACTGGCTTTGCTAGTTAAAAAACCCTAATGTTACAAAACTTTCAGATATACCTGTGCCTGAGAGTATATGCCACAGCTTTTTGTTAGCATGCCATACATCATAAACCACATACACAAACCCATTCTTCTCTAATACCCAGAATTTATATATTGTATGGCAGCACATGACAGAAACACTTCTCTTGTGGCCATATATAACAGCAAGTAATTTACAAATTCAATAATCCAAGAGACATTAGGAAAGATTTCATCTCCTTTGAAGATACTAAAGTACCCGGAACAAGGAAGAGTGCTGTATTAAAGCAAAGGGGTTAAAGGAGTTTGAATTTAGTAAGCAATTTAGTCACAAAGAATGGGGAAGGGAGGGTATTGGAAACCACTTCTTTTGTAGGCAATAGAAATTCCCTACAAAATATAAAGTTCTAGGGAATAATTTTATTACATTCATTTCACTTTTAAGTCTTAAGCTTTTAAAATAAGTAACATTTAAGACAATAAGACTCATAAAATTACTTACTCTTTGTACTCTCTCCCTCATTCTTAGAATCCATGAAATCACCTGAACGCATAGCACACATAATCTTCTGAGCAACAGTAGAGAGGGGTGTCTCACAGAGATCAAAACCTACACATGCCTCATAATTTTCCATTTTCATAAAGTCCTAAATACAAGATAAGTACCCATATATTAATTTTAAGACTTTAAAAGGATTACATATATTTTCATTTAAAAGGTATTAATAACTACAGGAAACAGGTTTCGATTATCTAACACAAATAGGATGGAGAAAGAAGTGAGGCCTGTTGGTAAAACTGAATTAGGAAGCTGAGGCAGGAAGACATAGTTCAAGCCTGCCTAGGCTACAGAGCAAGTTCGAGGACAGCTGGGCAGATTAGTAAGACCCAGTCTCAAATATTTTTAAAGCTGTTTTATTTTTATTTTTTTTTAAAAGAAAACAAACTATCTTTTTCCATTTTACATACCAATCTCAGTTCCCTCTTGCTTGGTATGTATAAACCCTAGTCTTGCTTCCCAGCGCTACAAATCAAATCAAAACCAACCAGAGGCTCCTTTGAGAAACAAACATATACAGGCTGGAGAGATGGCTCAGTGGTTAAGAGCATTGCCTGCTCTTCCAAAGGTCCTGAGTTCAATTCCCGGCAACCACATGGTGGCTCACAACCATCTGTAAAGAGGTCTAGTGCCCCCTTCTGGCCTGCAGGCATACACACAGAGAGACTATTGTATATATAATAAATAAAATATTTTAAAAAAATAGAGAAATAAACATATAAAAATAATTTCTAATTAACCAACTATGAGGTAAGCAGTTTAACTCCTCCTCAGTTCTGAAAGCTGGCTGCTATTTTCAAGCATATAACTCTGCAATACGGTAATTAAACCTGACCTCGGTCATCAAGGTAGACAAATAACCTGCCACTTTGGGACTGACAAGTCTCTATTGGTCCACCGGCTAAGTAGGTGAAGGTTTAGTGGGTGGTACAGATTAATTATCTGCTTCCTAGCTAAATTATCTGGCACCCACCGGGAAAGCAGTTAACCGTTTCCCACATTATTTGAGAAAAGAAGAATTTAAATGCCTTATCTCTGGACATTAAAATGAACAGCTGACAGTTAAATTGTTTTGGGAGGGGTTGTTTTGTTTTTGAGACAGGGTTTCTGTTTAACAGCTCTGGCTGTCCTAGAATTTTATTTGTAGACCAGGCTGGCCTTGAACTCAGAGATCCACCTGCCTCTGCCTCCCAAGTGCTGGTATTAAGAGTCAGACTGGCCTTACAGTTAAATCTTATGATAAAATTTAATGTTTTTTTTAACTATATTAGGCTCACCTAACAAAAATAAATTTATGTAACATGATACAATAACTGACAGAAATGCATTTGCTTGATAGATTGTAAAAATACAGTGCATGGCCACTTTCTATAGTTATACCCTGAAAATATCCATAAAACTATGTGAACCATAAAACAAAGGTAAAGAATATTCTTAGAGGTATTTCCTATAGCTGAACTTAAAATATTTATTATTTGACACAGACATATCATAAAATGAACTCTTTGGGAGCTTTTGATAAAATAACCGATAGGAAATTTCGTGCGGTGGTATACACTCATAATCCCAGCACAGTCAAGTCAGGATCATAAACTGAAGACCAATATAGGCGAAAAGATTTAAGACCTTACCTTAAAAACAAAACAAAATGAATCTATAAAAAGAAAAAAATCCAACTAAAAAGCCACTTCAAATCTTAAATAATTGTCCAACATTTTCTAAGTGATTTAAATATATATCATAAATCCTTTAAGCAACCATTTGTATATAATTTTGAAACTTATATTTCAAATTTCATTATTTATGCTATAATCACAGTGGTTAAAGCTCTAGTACAGCCACCAGAACCCAGCCCCTAAAACAGAAATGCTCAAAATTTGTGATACAAGCAGACACATTTAAACTTCCAAAAATTACAACAGAAAATTAGGGGAAAATACTTCAGCAGAATTTTACTTTAGTCAAACACAAGACTTGGCTATTGAATATACAATAATATTACTTTACCGACAAAGGATAAAATTCCAAACCGCAATGAAACTACACATAGTATGGAAATCTATGTACCTGCTAAAAAAGGTCAAGTATGTAGCATACATACACTAAACAAAGGTAGAACACATCCTAGGTGGGAGGCTTCAGAGTCCATGACATACAACTTAAAACTTTACTTCTGAAAAAAAAACTTTACTCCTGTCATTTTTTAAAATTATTTTCAGATCACAGTTGACCTCAGATAACAGAAACCTTAAAAAACAAAACCCCAAATTCTACAAAAATTTTGAAATACCCAACAGCAGAAAATGCCAATTTAAGGAAATTTAGTTATACTTAAAACATTTGTATACCATGTTTTTTTCCTGCAAGTAAAAATTTGACAAGATAAAGTGGCACCAAGCAAACAGTGATGAGAAGCACTTGGTAGTATGCCTGATGTGAGTTCAAGTCCAGTCTGGTCAGCCAGTCAATGTTTATACAACCTCAAAACCAATGTCACAAACTGAACATCCCTTAACTTAAATGAGTGGAACTAAAGTGCTTCAGATATTTTAATTTTTGTATACAATTATAAATTTTAGAGATAGAAATGAAGTCAAAATGTGAAATTCATTCATATTTCAGACAAAATTTTATACAACTAAGACTGAAGGTAGCTTTATAACTTAGTGTATGTATTTTATGACTGACAAGCCATGAAAGATCAGATGTAGAATTTTTCATTTGAGAAACATTCCAGTTGCTTAAAAATACAGGTTCAAATTTTGGAGTATTTAAAATTTTCATATTAGGGAAGTTCAACTTGACATTGAATCTATTCAAATAAAATGTTCTGTTGATCTTAAATTTATAACCCTAGTAGCACTGAGGCTGATGACGTGGGTTAATCTCTGCTACCAAGACTGACGACCTGATTTCCATTCCCAGAGCTCTTGTGGTAGAAGAGTAACACAACTCCTGCAAGACGCTCTCACCTCCACACATGCGACATGGTACACACTAATTACTGTACACGACTGCACATATACCCATCCCTCCCCACACACTAAGTAAATGTCAAAAGAAAAATTAGTAGTGTTTATTAGAAATAGCATCCTAATAGTTAAAAATTAAAACACAGCAGGCATAGTAAAGATTCAGTTTTAGAAATCTTCAGTCTTTAAGATCAGGTCTTAATCTTTGACTGGTTTTCTAAATTTTCCACAACATCTTTTAGATAGTCTGCATCTTTGAAAAAATATACATATAATTCTCTTTCCACTTGATGCAATTTATTAGTTGCCAAAAGTTTTCTTTTTGTCTTCACATCAGCAAGAATATCCGTAAGGAGATGATTTAGTTTATTCAACTTAGATTCAACTCGATGAACATGTTCCATTAACTCCTGAAAAGGGGAGAAAAAAAACCCTTTATTTCAAGAACTTTATCACTAACACCAACTAGAAATTTAAAAGGAAATTCTAAAATTTAAAAGGAAATTCTATTAAATGAAAAACTTCTCATAATCACAATAAAAAGCCCTGTTAGGCTGGAGTGATGACACAGACTCTTAATATAAACACCTGGGAGACAGAGGCAGGACGATCTCTTAGTTCTAGGATAGCCTGATCTGCACAGTTAATTCCAAACCAGCCAGGCCTACATAGTGAGATCCTATCTTTAAACAAAGAACTAGAGAAAAACAAAAAGAGGGCTGAACAGATGGCTCAGTGGACAAAGGCACTTGTTATCAAGCCTGATGACCCAAGTTTGATCCCCCAAATCCACGTTTGAAGTAAAGAGTAGACTCCCAATTGTCCTCTGATCGACAGGTGTGTGAGCCTTCACACACAAAAATAAATAAATGTAATAAAAAATTTAAAAAGAAAAAAAAACAACACTTAACAGGCTGGGCATGGATGGTGCTCATGTTTACAATACCAACAGTAGGAAAGGAAGGCTGGATTGCTCTAAATTTGAGGCCAAACTGGGATACACAGTTTTTTTCAGATCATAACATTCTGAAACAAAGATGCATTTTATCATGGAGGCCATTATGTGGTGGTTTCTGATGGCCTAGTACACAGACCTGTAATCCCACCACTTGGAGGCAAAGTAAAGACTGTTACATGTCTATGTAGCAAGTTCTAGTCCAACAAGGGCTATGTGGTGAGATTCTGTTTGGAACCAAACAGTTTTCCTTAATATTCTTGATGTAGAAAAATGTGTCAATTATGAATCACAGAACAATTCAGAGCAATTAGGAATTAACCATGAGGCTTTATAAATATTCTACTCATTTTAACTGGCTTATTTTTTCCCCTTTAAAATATACTCAAGAGTAACACAGTGATGGACTAGAGAGGCACTTCAGTAGACAATGACATCTACAGCCAAGCCTGACAACCATAGTTCAATCCTTGGAAAGATATGGTAGAAAGAAGAGAACCAATTACTATAAATGGTCCCGATTTCCACCTGTGCATCATGACACTCTCACATAACACACAAATAAATGCGATTTTAAAAAAGAATATGCTGACAATGGCACGGGGTTTTGACCCTACTTCATGTTCTGGCTTTGTGGAATCCTAGCCAGTTTGGATGTTCACCTTCCTAGACATGGACGGAGGGGGACAGACCTTGAACTTTCCACAGGGCAGGGAACCCTGACTGCTCTATGGACTGGAGAGGGAGGGGGAGAGGAGTTTGGGGGAGCGGGAGAAGGGTGGGAGGAGGGGGAGGGAAATGGGAGGCTGGGAGGAGGCGGATACTTTTTTTTCCTTTTCTCAATAAAAAATAAAAATTAAAAAAAAATTAAAAAAAAAAAAAGAATATGCTGAAAAAATGTCTACTAACATCTAAAAGACCAGTCACTGGGAAACATGTTTAAAACAAAAAAGTTGGGGAATTCCATTAGAAGAAGCATGTACCAATAAGTACACAAAGAGATTTTAAAACAGACGAGCAATCCTCTCTTTGCTGAAATAACAAGTTTTCTTCCCTAATACAAAATCATATCATTTTTATAGTGGCTGAAAACTTTACTTTCAAATTATGTACACAACATTCAAAATTACCTGAATACGTATTAGTAGTTACAAAAAAACCATAAGGTTTTGTATGGTGGCATATGCCTATAATCCTAGAACCTGGGAGATTGTGAGTTGGAGACCGGCATAGGCTATACAACAAGACTCTGTACTCTAAATAAAAGCATTTATTTTCTTTTATAAGGAACATTATTTTATTTATTCATTTATTTAATTATTTTATTCATTCATTTACTTACTTACTTATTTTGGTTTTTCAAGACAGGGTTTTTCTGTGTAGCTTTGGAGCCTGTCCTGGCACTTGCTCTGTGAACCAGGCTGACCTCAAACTCACAGAGATCTGCCTGTCTCTGCCTACCGAGTGCTGGGATTAAAGGCATGTGCCACCACTGCCTGGCAGAACATTTTTAATGATTTTTTTTTATTTGAATGAGTATTTTTGCTTGCATGTGTATATGTATACCACATGTGTGCCTGATACCCACAAAAGCCAAGGATGTCAGAACTCCCATTACCAGAGTTACAGATGGTTGTGAGCCACCATGTGGGTGCTAGGAATGAAACATGGGTCCTCTTACAAGAGCTAGCTCTCTGGCCCTTTACAATAAGCATATTTTTAACAGCATTTTAAACTTCTTAGGTAAACACTCACCTGATCACAGAGCAATAGCTGGTTCCCTCCGTGATACAAAGCATCACAAAGCATGTCCACATCATTATTCAGTTTGGACAGAAAGAAAAACTGTTCTTGAGTAGATACTGCCAATTGATCTTGTATTTGAGAAAGATCTTGTTTCAATTTCTCAGCCACTTCTTCCAAGCGTTCATGGGTTATAAACAATTCTTTTTTCTTATTGTCTCCATCTAAAAGTTGATAAAGCCTAAAATATAAAATTAAAGAGAAAAATGTTCATGTTAGCAGTTTTCAAAATTATAACCTACCATATTGGGTCATGGATAATGATAGCTAAGTAACAACTGAAAAGTAGTAATTTGTGTGTTTCTAATATTGATCAACTGAAACATCACAAATATAATACTATTTCAGAAGAGAAATACCTGAATTTGAGCATATGATACAACCCTGTCATCCCAGCACTCAGGAAGCTAAGGTAGGTGCATCATAGGCTCAAGGTTACAGAGCAAATTCAAGGCCAGCAAGATACTATCTCAAAAAGATAAATAATTCTTTAAAAGAAATATCTAAATTTCCAGTTTCTCCATCTTTCCTATTTTAGACACAAACTTCACTTTTATTAGTTTACTTCAAAGCAAGCTTCAGTGATCCATCCCAAGAAAACATTTCTTTTATAGAATACATCTATGACATAGCAGCAGCAAAAATGACCAACAAATGCCTATTGGACAAGATTGTGGTGGGATTAAAAGAGAAAAACTAAAAACGTAAATATTGTAAAAGGTAAACAATTAAGAGCTATATAAATAGCCATTAACAACAAACTTCCTACTTTAATTTGTTCAGTATTTTGTTTGGTAAAAATCCTGATAATTGCTGGGCAGTGGTGGTACCACCACTGGTATTAAATTGGGAGGCAGAGGTGTGTGGATCTTTGTGAGTTCAAGGCCAGACTGGTCTACAGAGCAAGTTCCGGGGCAGGTTCCAAAAAGCTACACAGAAAAACCCTATCTTGAAAAACAAAACAAACAAAAACAAAACAAAACAAAAAAAACCCTGATAATTAATAAGACCATTTCACTTAACGGCAGAAAAATCCATCAGCCTATAAGTAAGACAAAAGAAAAATCTAAAGCAACATGTCACACCTGCCTTATAAAAAGACATTATATCTTTTACTTATACATATACCAACATATAGCTTCCTCTCTTCACACACCCAAATCTTAACAGACTATAAAGGTGGTTGAAATCCAAAGTTGCCAATTACAGTCTGGAGAATATAACCACACAATTACACACTAGCACGTTTACACGGACTATGATGTTGATGGCAAACCCTAAAATTAAAACAATGAGGCAACCCTAAGTCATTCATTTTACTAATAAACAAAATGATTTAATGTATATTATTCTAATCCTGCAGAAAAATGAAGAATAGGATACAAATTATGTGTTTGTGTGTTTGTACATGTGCACAGGGAGGCCAGGGGTTGATGTTGGGACTCTTCCTCAAATACTCTGTCTCATTTTTTTACCAAAGTCTCTCACAAACCTGAGTTCACTTATTCAGTGAAACTGGCTGGCCAGCAAGCACTTTCTCCTCTACCTCTCCAGTGTAGAGATGACAGGAGTGTGCCACTGCAACTGGCTTTTTTATGTAATTTCTGGGATCAAATTCAGGTTAAGTTTGTACACAAGTACTTCAGTGACTGAACTATCTCCCTAGCTGTCTCCCTGCCAATCCTTTCTTTCTTTAAAATACAAAGTCTCATTGTGCAACTCAGGCTGCCCTAGAATTCTTGCTATGTAGCCCAAGCTGACCTCAAATTCAAGATTCTCTTGTCCCAGCTTCCAAAAAGTTAAAATTAAGGTATAATCCCATCACTACACAGGATTTAAAACACAGGTGTTTGCTGAACATTCATTTTCTACAGTCCACGATGGCTTCAAACGTACTATCTTTCTACACCAGCCTGTTAGGTACTAGGATTACAGATATGAGTCACTACACCTTACAGAATAGACTTTTGAAGTCTGTATTCTTTAGTCTTTTAATTTCAGTATCTTGGTATCATCAATTATTTAGATAACCAGGAAAGGCTAGCTTTCACTTTGAGTGCTCTACCTTACCAGACAGGGAATAAAGTCTTCCGCTCTATTACCACCTTCCCCAAACACAGTCAGTATTGTGTCCGGCAAAACCTATGATATAAAGCTGTATTCAAATGTCCTGTCCCAAATCTAAAATAAAGTAAATAATGGTGTCTAAGTGGGAGTAAATGTTTTATTAGTTTATTCCTACAACTCATTGACTTCAGCTCTAAAGTGGCTACATTCAGACCTAACATGAACAGAAAGGGAACCAAAATTGTTTAAGATAAAAGAAAAGCAGAAAGGCCAATCTAAGTACAAGTAATTTTTTAAACCTTTAAAAATTTCTGTTCAAATTCTCTAGTATCTTACACAAATAAAAATTATTAAGAAAGCAATGACATATGCATACCTATGAGTAGAATAATCTTTAGTGTTGATGGGAGTCCTGGAGTTTAACTGCTCAGATGCTGACGGATCCGTTAACGTTGCTAATTGCTGACAGAGCACCACGTTTCTTTGACTAAGTTGTTGAACCAAATTTTCAAGTTGCCGATATGTATCCCAATGTCTTCTCAACTCAATTTCATATGATAAATGTACAAGCTCAAATGATGCCTTCTGCTTTATCAACTGATTTAAAACTAACTCTTGTCTTGCTGTATAACAATCTTGTTTAGCAATCTGCAGATCAAAATCTCCCTTTACAACCGGCATGTTCAATAACTGGGCGTTCTCTTTTACTACAGCAGGCAAAATTTTGTCTTTCATATGAGTGATTTGTTCTTCAAGTTTTAGAATCTCACGGTTCAAGCTAGAAATTTTAGCATCCAAATTTTCTTTACCAACAGCCTACAAAAAGAAAGCAGTAACATTTTAAACTGTAGGTTTAAATTTTTATTTTAAAATTATTTTCACTTTTTTTGTTTTAAGTGGTCAGATAATATGCTCATTGAATAAAAAGTAACTTATTAGTATAATCCAAAACTAATTTTAAAAGGGAAGATATTGGACTAAGTCAAGAGAAAAACTTCAGTGCTTTCACATTAAATATGCATGCAGTAATAGCTAACTAGGAGATCTATTATCTTGATCATAACTTTATCGGCATATTAGTCATTGATAGCAAATGAAGATTTTAGTTTTTCTTAAAACTATCTCAATAGGTATTAGTGTATCAGCTGATTACAGCACACATTCTTTTATTATTTCAAATTTTCGTCTCTTGCAGTAACTAATTTAATGCAGGTATTCATTCCGATTCAGAAAAACCTACATTTTTATTCAATTATCTGATGATTATTAGGAAAGCAAGCTTCCAAAGAGTACAGATGAATAACTGTAATATATCTTCACATTCTCAATAAGAGGAATTCATTCCACTGAATCCTGTACTTTTGACTTCTCGTCAGAGAAATGAGGCAGAACACCCACAATCAAGCAAGTAGTCTCTTTTTTTTTTTTTTTGATTTTTCGAGACAGGGTTTCTCCATAGCTTTTGGTTCCTGTCCTGGAACTAGCTCTTGTAGACCAGGCTGGCCTCGAACTCATAGAGATCCGCCTGCCTCTGCCTCCCGAGTGCTGGGATTAAAGGCGTGCGCCACCACCGCCCGGCTAAGCAAGTAGTCTCTTTGACATATATCATAAAAGGAAACCCCAGTTTAGTCTATTTTTGAAATGACACAAATTTCAAGTTCATAGTGCAAATTAAGGCATTTTTGTTCAGAATTAACCAGGTAGTATGACTGAAGATAAAATTACTAAATTCTGGCAATATATTACTAAGTTCTGGTAATATGATTAATAATATTTTTGTATGAAATACACACTGTAAATAAGTACTGAGAAAACATAAAATTAAATTAAATTTCCCCTTTCTAAAGTAGTAGCAATATTAAACCTTATGTTTCTAACAATTACAATACAAATTCAATCTTATTTCTTATATTTACCTCATTGGTTAGGCTATGAAGATTCTCTTCTGCCCATTTTATACTTGACTTCATGCTCAAATTACTTGCTTTCAGGTATAAGATCTGTTGTTGGGCACAGATGTATGCTATCTGCAGCCTAGCCATCTCCAGTTGTCTCTCCCCAAGGATTTCTTCATTTTCACAAATAGATGGTGTTTGTATGTCTAAGAGTTGAAAATTTTCTTCATTTGAAGTTTCAACTACTTCATGTATACCCTGAAAGAACTGTTTTTTGGTATATAAGGTTAAGGCTGCTGTGCTTTGCTCCTCTTGGCTTATGTATTTTTCCAAGGAAAGTTGAGATAAAAATACCATTGGATTTGTCCCTTGACCTAAATTAGAATTTCTGAAGAATATCATCAAATTATTAACTTCATCAGTAAGAACCTGAAGTTCATTACTGAGTTTAGTGTTCACAGCATCTAGGAATCCTTGACTTTGTTTTAGCTTCTTAGTAGCTTCCTCTTGTTTAGCATTTAATGCCAGAGATTTGTAACTAGTTTCAGAAGCCATTAACTGGTATTTATTCCGTCGCTGAATTTTTAAGTTATATAATTTCTGCAGCATTTGAACCTCATCTTCTAATTTCTGTATCTCTTTGTCATCCAGTGTAGGTGTCTTCAAATCAAAAGTTTTACAGGTTCTAAGAACTTCATCCAATGCCGTTCCTTCTAGGATGGGCTTGCCTGATCTTTGAAGAATGCTGAAAGCTTCCAATTCTTTTTCAGACAACACATTCTGTTCATTAACATTTCCACAAAACCATTTCAGAAATGACTGATCTTCACCAGCCTCAAACAGCCAGTCAAAATCTTCTCCGTTAAGAGTATCAGCTTTAGGATAACCAATTTTTTCCAATGTTTCCACAAACTCCTTTCCACAACTCATGGTTAAACTACCCTACCCCTGTTTCTTATATTTGATATGAATCTATGGGAACTGTCTTTAAGAACTAAGTTCAAACAGAAAAAAACATGTTTACACTAAGTCCATGGAAGAAGGGGGGAAATACAATCTATAGTGTCCTTTCCTAGAGGGGAAAAAAACAAGTGTTAGAGTACAAATAAGTCAAATGCACTTTAAATACAGATCATTTCATCAGATGCCATCAGGAAACTATTTAAATGAAAGGCAGATGCAAGTTCGTTATCTGATGAAAACAGCAAAACACACTGCAACAGTAATGAAAACCCAATTAGTGAAAATATAACAATAAAAATCTTATTTTTCCAATGACAAAATTATTTAAAATGCACTATATTTTGTAAAATAATAGTTGTTTCCCCGTCGTTTCTAGTTTAGAAATAGAAATATGCCACTTTTTAAAAGATCAACTGAATATTTACATCAATCAGCATTCATCGGGTTCAAACGACTCAATCTCCAGACATAACCAGCCTAATGCAGAGAAAACCAGGGCAAACTGACAAGTTTCAAAGTAGCCAATCATTAAGCAAAAAGTATTATTTTCACCCAGCGCACAACGATCCAAGACTTCAGCAAACGAAGGTCAGTGGCAATGGCAGGCTGTAAAAATCTCGATACATTTGACACTCTGATAGCAAAATCTCTGGGTTAGTTTTTGTTTGTTTCTGGAGTAACCAGTTCCGGCACTTAGGATCCCTAATAAAACACACCCACAAAACCACAGAATTGCTGTTTTTAAAAGATGCATAAAGGGCCGGGCAGTGGTGGCGCACGCCTTTAATCCGAGCACTAGGGAGGCAGAGGCCGGAGGATCTCTGTGAGTTCTAGGCCAGCCTGGTCTATAAGAGCTAGTTCCATTTGAAATGGGAGGCTGGGAGGAGGTGGAAACTTGTTTTTTTTTTCTTCCTTTTCTCAATAATAATAAAAAAAGAAAAGAAAAAAAAAAGACTCTTACACAGAGAAACCCTGTCTTAAAAAAACCAAAAGTAAAAAAAAAAAAAAAAAAAAAAAAAAAGAGCTAGTTCCAGGGCAGGTAGGGCTGTTACACTGAGAAACCCTGACTCGAAAAGCAAAACAAACAAACAAAAAGATGCATAAAGGATAGGGACATATTTTGGGTTTAACGCTTGCCTAGTATGATTGAGGCCTTGGGTTTTATCCGCAGCACTCGGGAAAAAAAAAACAATTTACCAACCCCAGCCGGATGACTGGCCACGCAGCCTCAGTCCCGGCACGAAGCCTCAGCCTCCCGAGCACCTCTATCGGCTACCCGCTCCTCAAGCTGGCTGCAGGAGGGTAGCGGCGGCCCCGCCAACGCCGAACCGGAACCCCTCACCTCCGGCTACTCCAGCGGGCGCTGTCAGCGACCTCCAACCGCGCGCGTCGCAGTGCCTCACGGGAGTGCCGGGACGAGCATGCGCAGATAGCAACAGCGGTAATATCTGCGCAGGCGTGGTATCGCGGAGAGGCTGAGGAAGAACAGCTGACCTGCCCCACCCCTTACCTGCATGGAGCCAAGAGCCCGCTGATTGGCTCTCCTGCCCATTAACTCCGCCCCCAGCCCGCCGACCTTTCCCGTTAGGCTCAAGCGGAGCGGTTTCCTCGCTGAAGACTCCGCCCTCTCCCCGCCCCGCCCTGGAGTTGATGTTTGGGGTTCTTTGGGCTGAGCGCTGCACAGCGAGCCAGGCTTCTCTCGTTCAGTTAGGCCTCCTAGGCTAAGGATAGCTCTTAATCGTCGACACCTCTAGGAATCAGAAGCCTGAGGCCGAAAGACCCCTCCCCGCGGCACGGTGACCTAACGGGGTGCTAGCAACTGATCTCTTGCTGTGCAGGATTATTGGCTATAGATTCTTTTACAGTAGTTGTTTAGCAAAAGTTCTTAACTCCCAAGGCCTAGCTGACTTCCTCCACGATCCCATCTTCAAAATGTCAAACTGGAAAGCACGTAAGTTTGGAGTGCTGTGGAAGGAATGCATTCAACTCGAAAGTACAGACATTCTGAGGCTGCTAGGATAGCCACAGTCGTTCGATGGAAGGCAGGAAGCTGAAATACGGCTAAGTGAAGCAAGCCTGATGGTTTATGATCCCAGAAAACTGCCCTTTGGCATTGGTAACAACGTGTTTGTATGGGACGGCATTTGTTCGTTTTTTTACCAAACAAACTGCATTTGCAATTTACCAATCTCTTGTAAGATGACATATACATTTGCAAGGTGTAAGCTTTGATCATTAGAAAACAGTACTCCCCTCCTCCGGTCACAAATGAGGTGGTTTATCAAAGTTCTAGGCTAGCTGTTACTAGGTAGAATTCTTTCTGCATTGCCCCCCCCAACTTATGTGTTAAGAGTTATTTATTTATTTATTTGAATAATGTTATGAGTGCTCTGTTTGCATGCATGCATGCCTTTATATCAGAAGAGGGCATCCTGTCATTGCTAGAGATTGATCTCAGAACCTCTGCAAGAGCACACAGTGCTCTTAACCGCTGAGCCGACTCTCCAACTCCCTGCTTGTTTGGTTTTTAAGACAAGGATTTCTGCATGGCCCAGACTGGGCTTCAATTCAAGATCCTCTTACTTTAGAATCCCCAAGTGCTGGGGTTATAGGTGTGAATTACGCTGCCCAGCTCTTAATGTTTTTAAGAGAGAAAAACTAACAATCTAGCAGATAATTAATTAGAGTTAAAGACATTTACTATTAATTCTTGTTTCACTTTTTAATCTTCCTTTTGAAAGCCAATAAAATCTCGGAGTAAATAAAATCAAACATTACTGGGGTAAAGTTCTCAGGATGGTGCCTAATCTGGAGTTAGGAAATCAGGGTACAGGCCCAGAAGGACCCCTGGTGTCAAGCTAGAGGTAGGGGCTCAGCAGGGAGCTGGTGTTGAGTGGGTTTTGGCCAGAGGAAGTGCAGGCAGTGCTTTTGGAAAATTTTGCTGAGGAGGCAAAGACCGAGAGAAAAAGAGCCAAATGACACAAGATGGGGGGTGGGGGATGGGGGGGTGCAGGGCTGAGAGGGTTTTTTGGTTTGGTTTTGTTTTAAAATGGGAGGAACTTGGAGATATTTATAGATTGTGAGGAAGAACTCAGAGGAGACAAAATTAAAGATGGCAGAAAGACAAAAGGCCACTTTGCTCTGGATGAGGTCCCCCCAGAGCAGGAGGCACAACCCGGAACCCTGGAGACCTTCCAGGAAACCCACTTTTCTTAGTGACTCCTGGGCAGTTCCAAGCCCCCAACTCTCCATTTTGAGTTACTTATCACAGCTATTTGTTTGAAAGGTGTTTATGAGGCCATAAGAAGTCATAAGAATATAGAGATTAGAACAGGACCGGGACCCTGAGTACAAACGACAAACAAAACGGGGTTAATTATACAGCTCTGGGAAGTGTTCCGGGAATTGGATTGGAAATTTAAGAAGGCAAATATGTTAAACTTATTTCCAAGACAAGCTTGTTTTCTACTCAAAATCAGTTGTGGTTTTAATGGGGTCAAAAGGTAAGGGAAGCCAGGAGCTGATCTCGCCTAAGCAAGCCTGTGAGAATGTCACTGGTGAAACAAACCTAGCTGCAGCCCGGGAGGGGCAGTCTTTGCTGCTTGGCTTTTCTACTTCTTGGCTGAAGTTTTACTCTCCTGTCATCAATATTTAAAAAGTAGTGTATGCTTTAGATAGTATATTTTCAGGCAGTTTTAAAACTTCATATATAACTGTGATGTTAAAGGTTGATTTCAGATGCAGTTTAATGGAAGTGAAGAGACCTATTCTCCAAACATGGAGATGGGGCTGTTTGGAAGCAAGGGAGTGACCGCCTTAGACATGTATTAACTTGATTCTACATTTTTTTTCAAATACAAAAGGTCTGAGAAAGCTGGCACTGGACAACTCAGGAATGGGTAAAGGCAAGGGAACCCCAGGAGCTGGCAGAACCCTGGGGGCTGTCAGCCAATGAGATGTGGCCTGGCAGCTTCTTCCTATTGGTCTTGTTCTTCCAGAAGAAATCTGACTTTCCGCAGACCGTGGAGTTGGGAAGGGGAGATTTCTTCTCATTGTGTTTACACTCATGTGAGAAAGGTGAAAACTCAGTACCAAACTGAGGAGCATTTGAGTCAGCACCACCAGGAAGGGGTCACCATGGTGGTGGGTAGGGGCAGGCACCTTTGAAGCTGGAAGCTGATAACAAGAGGCCTGGTGGAGTTTAGGGGCCAGAGTAGTCCGGGACCTTAGGTAGGCTGAGAGGCTCATATCTGTTGAGGAAGATTGGGATGACAGCCACTGCAGCTCCCCTCCCAGGCCAGTGGTATAACTGGAAAAATCCAGAGCTCCTGTGCTCCAGCTGTCTAGCTCAAGGCTGGAAAAAGAAGCTATGCAATGTCCCGCTAGAGATTAGTCTATGAGTCCACCACCTAATTTATGCGGCCAGAATCTCAGCAACAATGTGACAGATAGGGACAAAGGACTCGGGGCTCACTTGCAGAGGAGACTGGGCTTGAACTAACCATGAGATCCAAAATGAGATGGTAAGGACAAAGGGCTAAGTTGAAGGTAGGCTGGGCTGAGGGAAAGGGCAGGAGCTAGCAGGCATTTAATTCTAGGGATGAAGGGAGGGAAGAACAGCAGGGCCATCTTGGAGTCACTCTGACTGCCAAGAAGGAAAGTGGGCAAGTGTTCAGATTCATGCAGGGGTCTCACATGGGGGCAAGCATGAAGATATATAGGGATGGTCCTGGTGAGGTGTCTGCTGGGACTGGGTATGCCAGAAAGCTATGGAAGGAGCCTTCTCCTGTGAGACTGACCCAGCACGACTATAGCAGGTGCTAATCATAGCAGGTGCTAATCATGCGAAGTATTTAGCACAGACCGTGGCGCCCACTGTCCCCAATAGAAAGTGATAATGGGGTAGGCTCAAAATCACAGTATTTGGGATTTAAATGTCCGTATCGACATAAACATCCAAATTGTACCAATTCTGGGGTCTCAATTGTGTTCACATGAGAAAACACCTTTTCTGAGTAACCTTCAACTGCCTCAAAGGCTGCCCAGTCCCACTCCTTCCCAAGAGAAGGCAGGGTGCACATATTCAAGAATCCAGAGCCCATTGTTGCCTGCTGGGAGGACTGATACCTTTCTAGCAGGTACCACTAGGCCATCCCCAATGTGTTCTACAGAGGGTTCGGTGTGGTGACATCTTGCTCTCTGGAAGTCCTGATCCATTCCCATTATGGTGTTCAAGGTGGCAAATCCTTGAAGGAGGGAGGACAGCTGAGTCCCCAAAGACAAGGGCCAGGATTCCTGTGAATGGGCTGAAGCCTCCCTATAGGAGGTGGAATGTCAGGGACATTGTCCTGTTTCCCCATCCTGTGTGTTCTAACATCCACCCAGCTGCTTCTGTGAGGGCAGTTCAGAAGCCCAAGTCTGCATGCTAGCACCGAGCACAGCTGGCCACACTTCCACCTCAGCACAGTAGGGACTGAGGGCAGAAGCTATGCCCGAGTCACTGTGAGAATAGTGGGATGGGCCCAGGGATTGGTCCTTGAAGGTGTAGCCGGAGGGAGACCCAACAACTTCCCTGCAGAGGGCACCTCATCAGCATAGCACCCATAAGGATTGAGCTGTCTTTGGACCCACAGTGTCCTAGTCCACAAAAGGGTAAAACTACAAGACCAGCAACAAGAACACCTGGCAGAGTAGGGTGTGTGGTCCTTCTACCCAGGTCTTCACGGAGAGGCTGGTGGACTTATGGATCTGGCCAGGAAACAGCAGATGTGAAAGCTGGTTCCCAAAGGCCAGGATAAGCCAAGCTCCAGTGAGTCAGGCCCTCTAGCTGAAGCTGGAGGGAAAGA